AGCATTCCTTTCAATGCCACTTGCCTAAGCAGCTTCTGCACTTTGGTAGAGGCTATTGGCCAATTTGGGCTTGGTTGAAGCCCCCAACTCCATATGAGCTTTCAAAGCCGCTTTTCAAAAAAAGAGGCGAATGTCACAAGGGAGATTGGGGAGTCATAAAAGGATGCATGGGCTAAGTATGGGGTTTATGATTGATACTTGGAGTGATAATAAGAAAAGAAGTTATATGAATTTGTTGGTGAATTGTCCTTTACGGACAATATTTTTGAGGTGTACTGATGCCTTTGATGATAGCCAAGATGCCCATTGCATATTTAAAGTGATGGAGAAGAGCATCAAAGGAGGTTGGGGAGCAGTATGTTATAGACATTGTCATAGATAACACGCTCCTAATACTGCTATTGCTAATTTGTTGCGCATAGCCTATTCTAATATCTTTTGGACACCATGAGCAACTACTGTATAGACCTCATGCTTGAGGCTATTACGGTTTGACCGAGATTGTAGGTGCAGTTAAGAAGGCTAGGTCAGTTACGACTTTCTTTTATGGGCATACCCTCACCCTCAACATGATGCACATATTTACAAAGGAGGAGATTGTGAGGCCCAAGATCATGAGATTTGCTCTTGTATGTCATGATAACTTCATTCGAGGAGTGTCCAATTGAGACAAATGTTTACCTCTGATGATTGGAGAGTATGATCATAAAAGGAAGAAGGCGGGAGATATTGTCCTTTCTAATGCATTTCTGACGAGAGGTGAAGGATGCTCTTAAGGTATTTTTTCCTCTTGTCAAAGTCTTTCACCTGGCTGACAACAACAAGCCGTCCATGGGCTATATATATGAGGCAATGCAAAGTTGCGAGAGAGAGAGCCATAATTTGGATGATGATGTGAACTGCCATGAGCCAATTTGGACGATTATTGATGAGAAGTGGGATAGGCAACTACATCAATCATTGCATGCAGTTGGTTAATTTTTAAACCCAGCTTTTTATTATGCTGATAGGAGTCTGCAGACAAATTACACAATTATGACTAGATTAATAAGTGTCCGGATGTGCTAGTCCCTAATGAGGATATCTAAGACATTATATGAGCTGATGAGCTAGTAAGTTACAAGTTCGCATTGAAGTATTTTGGGAGTCCAATGGTGGTGAGACAAAGAACAAAATTAATCCACTTAATAATATGCCTAACCCAATCCTCAAGTACAAGTTTCATGTTTGTTGTTTGTTTTTTATATTTGGGAAAATTATAAATACCCCCCCAAAATCAACTTTCTACACATCCTACCCCCCAATACTTTTTGTATTATACCCTAAACCTCAATACTAATTTTCCTTGTATTTACCCCCCAATCAAAAAGTCAATGAGTTTTGGGACAAAATTGCTCTTTTTCTCTTTCTTCTCCTTTTATCTCTCTTTTTCTCTCTACCTCTCTCCACCCATCCTCTCTCCACTTGTTTCTCTCTCTCTATCTCTCTTTCTCTCTACCCTCTCTCACTCTCTCTCTATTTCTTTCTCCCCATTTTTTTTATGCGGTACGACAAGGAGTGTGCTAGACCGCATTATGGGCAAGGGAGAAGTTCTTGGAATTTGTGCGGTCCGGCACACTTCTTGCCAGACCGAAATATTTTTGTGGTTCGGCACGTTTATGTGTTAGACCGTAAAAAAAAAAATCAGTCTAGCAAGAAGCGTGCCAGACCGCATAAAAAATGGAGAGAGAAAGAGTGAGGGAGGGTACAGAGAGAAACAAGTAGAGAGAGAAAGCGAGGACGAGTAGACAGAGATACAAAGGGAGGAAAGAGAAAGGGGGCAATTTTGTCCCAAAACTCACTGACTTTTTTTAATAGGGGGTAAATACAACCAAAAATAGTATTGGGGTTGAGGGTATAATACAAAAATTATTGGGGGGTAGGATGTGTCGAAAGTTGATTTTGGGGGGTATCTATAATTTTCCCTTTATATTTTATATATAATCAAGATTCATAATCAATTTGCAGCCAACACAGGTGTAGTGCTTCATACTTACAAAAGTTGGCCATTTGGATCTTCAGCCTAACCATTACCTCGTCTAGCTTTGAGCAGAATTAAAGTACTTTTGAGATGGTAATTTAGTGTACTTTACTAGTTTACAGTTACTAATTTGTATTAGTAGTTGCAAGTTAGTAATTACTGATTACTATGTCAATTGTAAATTTGTAGGATTATAATAAATTATTAATTAGTTCCTTTGTATTAATACATTTGTTAAATTCTTAAAAAAAATTATTAATTAGTTTCATTTGATTTTCTTAGATTCATACAAAGAAACGAAACATGCTTGAATCAAAGAGGCTTGAATCAAAGAGGCTTAATGACCAAGTTTATGTGAAGCACAATCAATACTTGAAGGAGAGGTTTGCTAGGAGAGATAAGAGAGACCCCTTCAGATAAACAGATATGGATAATGCCATGGAGTAGTTGGTTGATGATGATGAGGTTGAGGGGCATGAAGGATTGACATGGGATATAGTCATGGAGGCCCTAGGGACTCCTAAAGCCACTAGATCTTCTTCACAGAGGACAAGGGTGGAGGAGGAAGAGGAGTAAGTAGAGGTAGATTCAGAAGAGATAGAGGAGGACAACCATTATGTTGAGGGAGATGATTCTAATCATGATGGGCATGACTCCGATGCATATGACGATGCTTTTTCTGATGATAAGTGATGACTGAGGATTCTTTGAGTCTTCAAAGTCAATTTCTTTCCTTTTTCTTTTCCACCTCTTAGTTATGTGCATGTAACTGTATATGGACTATGGATATGGAGTATGGAGGAGTGTATGTGGAGTTATGGACCATGGACATCTGATATGCCCTATGTGTTATTTATTTCCTTTTCATGATGATGAATCGATGTCTTGGATTATATTATCCTATTTTTACTGCGTGGTTAGAGTTCAGACTATGGTATGGACTATGGAGTATGGTCTAATGTCTAATGGTTTGAACTTTGAATTGAAATGTATGGAATTATGGAGTAATGGACTATGGATTGACTATATATTATGTATCCTTAATGTGTTATATGTATCAATATGCATTTTTTAGTTGTTACACTAAATCTAATCCTAAAACAATTGGATCTCCTATGCTTTGAATTCTACCTAGGCTGCCCAGGTTCCGAGAGGCCGTCTAGGCATTGAGCGGCTTGGACCCCCCCGACCACCTAGGCGCCGCCTAGCATTTTTTGGAACAGAGCACTTAGGTGTCACTTCATTAGGCGATAAGATTGGGGAAAGTAGACTTAGGTGGGCTGGCCATGTGCAGTGTAAACCTATTACAACACTAGTTACGAGGTGCGATTTCGTGCTAGTGGACAGGCTCTAAAGCGGTAAGGGGAATGCCCAAAAGGACATGGATAGAAGTAGTAAGAAAAAATATGGTGACTTTTTTTATCTTACTGACGGTATGGTACTTGATAGAGAAGAATGGAGGAACAAAATTCATGTAGCCGACGCCAATAAATTGGGATAAAGCTGGGATGATGATGACGATGATGATTGTTATGTCAAATAGGATGCTTATATTCTATTGGTACGCAAGATTTTGAAAAATATAGAGTCGTATCCCCGCTCTTTGTACCCGTCCCCACAATCGCATCTAAGTCGGGGAATCATGGGTCCATAGTTAACAGCCAGAGTTCGAAGGATGTTACTGAACACTTAGTTCGTTGTTATGGATATGAAGGCTGAAAGTACCTAATCTCTATAAATTTATGGGCCACTCGATTCACCACTCTATACTAATTCATATAGCTGAATTCACAGATTTCTAATCTCCCAATTGGAATTATTTGAATGAAGCCACCTTCCCTAAAAGGGCACCTAAATAATTTAGAAAACTAAACCTAATAACATTGAAAAATGAAGTGCACCTATAGAACTATAAAGCATCCTAAGTGCCATTGCTTCATCCATGTTGCATGGTTTAAAACAGACATGCATAGCTCTATAAACAAAACACATATTAAATGTAGTTACTTAACAATAATTCATTAGCTCTTTGTATCTCGGCTTTTCAACCTCTTGACCAAGATGAACCAGCATCCAAGGTGTTTCTATGTTTCCACACAAATTATGCATCATATGTTTGAGAGCATATTTCTCCAAAAACAATATAAGATACAAAGCATGTCCAAGAAGAAATTAAGCATATCAAAGAACACATTAATGCAGTTATACAACAAATATCTTAATTTCATCAACCACCACCTTTCGATTCGTTCTTGCACAAAGTAAACTAAGAATCACCATGTTTTTGAAAAAGCCAAATACAATTCACAAAACAAATTACAGAGATAGAAAGAGGCAACCAAGCAAAGGGTATAATTCAGAGAAAACTAAATGAAAAAAGTGAGATTATGTCAGTTTCATCTTATAGCTTCATTCACAAAATACCCTAATTTTTGCAAAACGGAATTCATTTCTGGCAAAGAAAAATTGGAACATACGAGCTTCTGGGTCCATATTTAAAACTTGAAAATGAAATTTCAAATACTAATGCACAATAATCAGCATGATGAAGATAAATTTCTAATGAACACAATATAGAACAAAAATAGATATCTCATCTAAAAAAATGATTAAACTTGAGTCCAGTTAATTCCCTTAAATCTCTAAAGTATCTTTCATTTCTCTCCCAAAAGAGCCTAGGATTCACCAGATATTCTCACAAATCATCCATTCAAAAACAAGATTATTGACGAAAGAAAAAAATACCAACCAGAAGCATATACACAATAAAATTTTACATGACAAGGGGAAAAGATTGTAAAACAAGAACTGCATAAGAAAAAGGGGAAAAGATTGCGAAATACAAACTGCATAAATACACAGAAAAAGCAGAAAAGATTGCAAAAGAAAACTGCATAAATACACAGAAAAAGGGGAAAATATTGCCAAAGAAAAACTGCATAAATACACAGAAAAAGGGGAAAAGATTGCGAAAAGAAACCTGTATAATTGAGAGTGTAAGAGAGGCCATTACAACCCCTAGCCTTTACACCAAGACGAAGATAAGGGCGTTGCCTCTGCTGCAGGAGTTGGCGAATTCTTGAAGCAGCAGTGTCTGTTAAAGTTAGGGCTTGGCGTTTTGCAGAGGGGGCTAATCTTTGTGATGCAGCTCTTAAGAATGAGGACGCCATTAATCAGGTGTGATATTCTTCAACTCTGAGATGAGAGAGTATGAAACTTGAAGAAACGAGAGTTTTCTGTGCCCAAAAAGAGAACTCGTAAGCAGCTAAATTTAGGGAAAATGATAGATACCCCAAAATTATTTACCACCCAAACAAGTAAAAAAAAAAAAAAAATTTTAAAAAAAAATGTCCTTTTTCTCTCTCTCTACCCACCCTCTGTCTTTCTACCGCCCTCTCTCTACTCCCTCTCTTTCTCTACCTGCTCTCTCTCAATGTAGAGAGAAACCCTAAATTAACCTTTCTCTCTCTACTCGCTCTCTTTCTCTAGCCGCCCTCTCTCAATGTAGAGAGAGACCCTAAATTAACCAGAGACCGTAGTAAGAGAAACCCAATATTCAGTATACGATTCCGGGGCAAGAAACCCTAGAAATTACCAGGGTTCAAAACACGTCCACCATGAATGGAAGTTCAAAGTGTGAAGAGCCTCAGATTTATCTGAAGAGACTGTATGGAACGTATATACTTGTCTATTATAACAAATTACAAATAACAATAATAAAAGCTAAATCATAGACACCCATACCATACCCAGAGTTACTATAAAATACAAGATAAGATACCTATTTAATTTGAATTTAAATATGTTAAAATAAAAAGTAGTTATATCATAATATTATTAGACTTAATTTAAAATAAATTAAGAAGGAAATTTATGAAGTAAGGTGTTGGGAAACTAGTATAATTCATCGTTAAAGTATCTAGAAAATCATTACATATGCTAATAAAAATATAAGATATTATAAAAATAAAAAAATTGTAAAATAAACATCTATATACAGTTCGCAAAAGTGGAAAAGGGGAACAAGGAAGCAAAAACGGTATCTTTTATTTTCTTTTTGGAGAATAGGAAATCAGCTTTTACAATAATGAAAATTTGTAATCGTATATATAAAGATTTTCTTATGTATTTTTTAATAAAATTTTGTATTTAAAATTTATTATGGTCTAAATTACTAAGAGAATAAATAAAACTAATGTCCAACTTTTGTTGAAATGAAAATTATTTTTAAAATATTTGAAAGTTTACAAGTAGAAAATTTGAAAGGAAGTCATAAATATTTTTTTTAAAACATATAACTTTGTAACTAAAATTATTAAAGCTCTTGGAAATTGGTGTCTTTTTATATAGAAAATACTACATAAGAATTATAAATCAATAAAAAGTTTTTTAAAAAAATTACACAATTAAAAGTTCATATTCTAGAAGTGAGAAAAGATATGGAAACAAGGAATCTTGGATATTTGAAATCTAAGAAAATCCATGGATTTTCAAAATCAAGGATTCTTGTCACGGATTCTTCAAATCTCTTGTGTGGATAAATTATTACAAAATTTATGGATTCCTTACAATCCTTTCCATGTATATTGTTTGGTAATCATACAGATTTTCATGGATTTTTCAAGGTTTTTTTTTGTTTTTTTTAATGGCAAATGAAATTTAATAATTTCATGAAACATGATTATTAAGTAAATAATTATTATAAAAGTATTACATTGGTAGACTATCCAATTACATGACATTTCTAGAAAACGCGAATATTAATAAACCAAGTCTATTTACTAAATTATTTTTAAAAATATGAATTTTAAAAGATGGGACAATGTAACAAAACGATAATATTCAATAAAACAACATTTATTAAAGATTACATGTTTTTTTTACATTTTCCGAAGTCAATACAATCCCATTTACTTTTTCAAACTCATCGCATATTTCAGTATGCGCCTCACACCCGAAACCATTTTCAACTCTACACCCCAATAGTACTTGTTTAAGTATGCTCCACGAGGTTGTTGTCCATTTCATCTGTCTACATTAGATATTTTCCTTTAGTATCCTTTTTCTCCTACTCCTTGGCTCTTTGATTCTTCTCCATTCTTGTTATCAAGTTTCAAGATAAATACACAACCACATCAATTCAAATGCCCCACACATGGAATAAGATAAGTCCATATTGTTAACATTAGACACTTCGTGCGAACATGTTTGGGAAACATGGGGCAAATTGTATGGTGGACAAGCTGCCATAATTGCGCGCAACAAACCGGCACTATGTGCACTCAAATCACGTGCATTGGGTTGAGCACGAGCGGTGCGCGTGTGTACGAAACTTCATATGGAGGGCACAAAAGTGGCACTTCGTACGCACGTGTTTGAGGGAACATGGGGAAAATTGTACGGTGCACAAGTGCACACAAACCACCATAATTGCGCAAAACAAACCGGCACGGTTTGCATGCGAATCGCGCGTGTTGAGTTGGCCATGCGCGATGCGCGTGTGCATGGAAGGAACTTAAGTGGCACTTCACGCACACAGGTTTGGGGGAACATGGGGGAAATCATACGGTGCACAAGCACGTGCAAGCCGCCATAATTGCGCGCAACAAACCGGCACGGTTTGCCCACGAATCTCACGCGTTGAATTGAGCGAGCGTGGTGCACATGTGCGCGAAATATTGTAAAGATGGCACGTAAGTGGCACTTCATGCACACGTGTTTGGGGGAACATGGGGCAAATTGTACGGTGCACAAGTTGCTATAATTGCACGCAATAAACCGGCACAGTTTGAGTGCGTTGATTTGAGCCCGCATGGTGCGCGTGTGTACGAAACTTCATACGGAAGGCACATAAGTGGCACTTCGTGCGCACGTGTTTGGGGGAACATGGGGCAAATCGTACGGTATACAAGTGCGCACAAACCATCATATTTACACGATACAAATCGGCACGGTTTGCACACAAATCGTACGCATTGAGTTGAGCGCGCGTGGTGCGCATGTGCACGAAACTTAGTATGGAGGGCACTTAAGTGGCACTTTTTGCGCACGTGTTTGGGGGAACGTGGGGCATATCGTACGGTGCACAATTACGTACAAGCCACCATAATTGCGTGCAACAAACCGACACAATTTCGTGTGAACCGCGGGCGTTGAGTTGAGCGCACGCAGTGCACGTGTTCACAAAACTTCGTACGGAGGGCACTTAAGTGACATTTTGTGCCCATGTGTTTGGGGAAACGTGGGGCAAATCGTATGGTGCACAAGCTGCCATAATTGCGAGTAACAAACCAGCACGGTTTGCACACAAACCACACATGTTGAGTTGAGCGCGCGCATTGCTTGTGGCACGAAACTTCGTACAGAGGGCACCTAAGTGGTACTTCATGCGCATGTATTTGGGGGTGCGTGGGGGCAAATTGTTTGGTGCACTAGTAGGCACAAGCCACCACAATTGCACATGAAGCGCGCGCGCGCTTACTTAAGCGTCGCAGTACGCGTGTTCACAAAACTTCGTACGGAGGGCATATAAGTGGCACTTCATGCGCAAGTGTTTGGGGGAATGTGGGGAAAATCGTACGGTACACAAATGCACACAAGTTGCCATAATTGGACGGAACAAATGGGCACAGTTTGTGTGCAAATCTCGCACAAATAGGTTGAGGGCGCGCGGTGCGCGTGTGCACAAAACTTTGTATGACTCTTCATGCACATGTGTTTGGGGGAATGTGGGGTAAATCCTAGGGTGCACAAGCTCGCACAAGCCCCCATAATTGCATGTAACAAACCAGCACGGTTTGCACGCGAAGCGTGCATGTTGAGTTTAGCACGCACAGTTAAGTGGCACTTTGTGCGCACGTGTTTGGGGGAACGTGGGGAAAATCGTATGATGCACAAGTGCACACAAGCCACCATAATTGCATGCAATAAACCGGTAAGGTTTGCACGCGAATTGCGCGCATTGAGTTGAGTACGTGCGGTGCGTGTGTGCACAAAACTTCATACGGATGGTACTTTAGTGGCACTTCATGCACACGTGTTTGGGGGAACATGGGGTAAATCGTATGGTGCACAAGTGCTCATAAGCCGCCATAATTGCGATTAACAAACTGGCACAGTTTGTGTGCGAATAGCGCGCATTGACTTGAGCGTGCACGGTGCTTGTGTGCACGAAACTTCGTACGGAGGGCACTTAAGTGGCACTTCGTGCACCCGTATTTGGGGGAACGTGGGACAAATCGTATGATGCACAAGTACGTACGCCGCCATAATTGTGCGCAATAAACATGCACGATTTGCATGTGAATCGTGTGCGTTGGGTTGAGAGCGGGCGGTACGCGTGTGCATGAAACTTCGTACAGAGGGCACTTAAGTGGCCCTTCGTGCGCACGTGTTTAGGTGAACATGGGGCAAATCGTTCAGTGCACAAGGGTGACGAACCTAAAATTCTTGAAACTGAAAATCATAATAATAATGTTAATAGTAATAGATACAAATAAAATTATTGTAATAATAATATTATTAAATAAATAAATAAAACTTACATAAAGAAATAAGTTGATAGTAATGATAGACTATCGGGATCATTCTTTTAGTATTTTTTAAAATATTTCAAATGCCATAATATTAATAAAAAAAATTAGATGGTCCAATCTCTTTTGGGTGGACCTAAAATCCACAATCAACGGCTCCTAAGCTTTTACACGAGAAGGTTGTTACCATTTACGTGGCAAAAAAATGTATATTTTATTGACCCCTCTTAATTGAGGTGTCACAAAAGCCTCTCTCTCTCATATTAACTCTTTCCCTCTCTCTTATTTGAATTTCCTATTCTAAAAGTTTTACGTATTTTTGTATTAAATTGTAAGTGGCATCATTTTTCTGAAGAATACTTCACTTTTAATAAAATGATTATTTCTTTCTATTGTTAGGAATTTTGTACACTGTAAATTATTAGAAACAAAAATTAATTATTCATCTACATTATTATGAATTTTAGAAACTGTAAGTTTAGGTAAGTGATCACATTGTCCTGTAACACAGTTATTTGAAAATTGATATTTATGCTTTTAGTAAAATTATGATATTCCGTTTATGGTTATGAATTTTCGATACTGTAAACTATGGTATTTATTCTTTCAATAGTAAAATTGTGATATTTCGTTTATGGTTATGAATTTTCGATGATTTAAACTATGGTATTTACTCTTTCAATAAGATAGTAATATTTTTGTTTATTGTTATGAATTCTAGATATCATAAGTTTATGTATAAGTGCCTTCATCTTTTTTTAAAATCAGTATTTGAAGAAAATTGATAATTCTATAATATTCTTAGAGATATTTCTGCATTTAATTGTAATATTTCTGATACCGTAAGTTTTACGTATTTCTGTATTTAATTGTAACATTCACAGCATAAACTTTGAATACTGTAAATGATATGTGCATGCAAAAATTTTGAACAAGTGCTATGTGCAAGTGGTTATGTCCAAGAGACAGTGCAAATGTTATGTGTAAGTATTATGTAAGTGTTAGGTGTAATTATGCTTAATTGTTATATGCAAGAGTTTTGTGCAAGTGATTGTTATAAATTGCTTTATGTGGATGTATGTTAATAATTTCAAGAATAATTTGAACATTTGATATTAAAGTTTCTTGATATCTACAATATTGGTATGTGGCCTGCAATTGACATAATAAGGTCTTTTGAATTTATATGTATGATAATACGATATAGTGATGTCACTCGTGACTATATGTGTAGCATATATATGGTTATATTTCTTGTGATTACATATGAGACATGCTTCTTATGAGATATGTGCGTATGGCAACATGCTTCTGATAAGATATGTGTGCAGGGCAACATGCTTGTGATAAGATATGTGCGCATGGAAACATGCCTCTGATGAGATATTTGTGCTGGCAGTGTGATTTTTCCTAACTCTCTATGATAGGATGAGAGTTAGGAGTGTGTGTTTGAAGGGTCGCGCCCCTAATATCTATATGATGGCACTACTCATTGGGACCTCTTTGGTAGTGTAACGCCCTCTCGCCAGAAGCACACATGAGATGGTTGTCTTGCAAGGCTCCTGCCTATCAAAAACCCCAAAGCGCGTTGGGGACTTTGTGCGTATGTGAGGCACTATGCAACGAATTTTCCCGTTGGTGATGCTTCTTTCTATGGGATAGTAGAAGTTCTAACCTTGGATTCAAGGCCTGGGACCCGAGGTTAGTGCTTCTATTGCAGGATTTGTGTTGTTGTGAATGCACGTTGCCCTTATTTTTATTGTTGTGAATGCACGTTGATTTGATTTTGTTTTTGTGAATGCGTGTTAACCATGCCTGATACTCAAATGCAATAACGCTTAACACTACTTCAATTAGATTATAATTGGTCATGATATGAATCACGTACCTGTAGTTTATGTATCATGCTGATTTGATTTGTCCAATAAGGAATACATGACATGTGTGAGATTAGAAATGAATTTATTTAATGACATGTATTAGGATGAAATTGATACTCTGAAATTCTAGTTAATATGTATTGTTTAAGAAATAATTACATATCTAGCCATGATTTGTAAAGACAATGACGGTCACTTATTGAGTAGCCATACTCATAAAGTTATTATGAATTTTTTTTCTAGAGTAATCGCAGCCGTATCGTTCATATGCACACCAGTTTTAAAGAAATTTGTGGTCATGACTAAATTTCCCTTTGTAACTATTGATCAAATTCACAATTGTAATTCTCCTATGAAAGGATGTATAAATCTAGACCTTCATGTTAATATCGGTTGCGAGTAGACCTTGTACTGATTTTTAGAAATGGAAAAATCTGTGTTGGTACAATATATAAATAAAATTTTGAATTTGTTTAACATGTAGTATAAGAATAGCCTGTTACACCTCATGAATGTTAGTACTATAAAACTTGGGGTGTGACAACAAGTGTGCACAAGCCTCCATAATTGCGTGTAACAAACCATCACAGTTTGTGCCCGAATCGTGTGCGTTGAGTTGAGCGCACACGATGCGTGTGTGCACGACACTTCGTCTGAATGACACTTAAGTGGCACATCATGTGCGCGTGTTTGGGGGAATGTGGGGCAAATCGTACGGTGCACAAGTGCGCACAAGCCGCTATACAACAAATCGGCACGGTTTGTGCACGAATCACGCGTGTTAAGTTCAGCACGTGCGGTCCGCGCGTGCACGAAACTTCGTACAGAGGGCACTTAAGTCACACTTCATGCGCACGTGTTTGGGGGAACGTGGGGCAAATCGTACGATGCACAAGTGAGCACAAGCCGCCATAATTACACGCAACAAACCGACACGGTTTGCATGCGAACCGCAAGTGTTGAGTTGACCACGTGCAGTACATGTGTGCACGAAACTTCGTACGAAGGGCACTTAAATAGCACTTCGTGCGCACGTGTTTGGGGGAACGTGGGCCAAATCGTATAGTGCACAACTGCGCACAAGCTGCCACAATTGTGCGCAACAAATCGGCACCGTTTACAGGCGCACCGTGTGCAAGGAGTAGCACGCACGATGCACGTAACTTTGTACAGAGGGCACTTAAATGGCATTTCATGCGTACGTGTTTGGGGGACCGTGGGGCAAATCGTATGGTGCACAAGTGCGTACAAGCCACCATAATTGTGCGCAACAAACCGACACGATTTGCATGCGAATCGGACGTGATGAGTTGAGCACACGCAGTGCGCGTTTGCACGAAATTTCGTATGTAGAACACTTAAGTGACACTTCGTACCCACGTGTTTAGGGGAACGTGGGGCAAATTACAGTGCACAAGTGCGCACAAGCTGCCATAATTGCACACAACAAACCGAAACGGTTTGCACGCGAACCGCGTGCGTTATGTTGAGTGCGTGCAATGAACGCGCACGAAATTTCGTACAGAGTGCACTTAAGTTAGGGCAAATTATACGGTGCACAAGTACACACAAGCCGCCATAATTACATGCAACAAATTGACATGGTTTGCACACGAATTGTGCGCATTGAGTTGAGCGCACATAGTGCACGCGTACACGAAACTTCGTACAGATGGCGCTAAAATGACATTTTGTGTACATGTTTGGGGGAACGTTGGGCAAATCGTACAATGCACAAAAGCGCATAAGCCGTCATAATTGCACGCAACAAACCGACACAATTTACAGACAAACAACACGCGTTGAGTTGAGCACACACAGTGTGCATGTGCACAAAACTTCATACATAGGGCACTACATGCAGCATATAATACATCTACTCCCTCGATAGTCCTATTTGAGAGGAATTTTTCAATTTAAAGTTTTGATAAAGAATCACTACATGATTTTTTTTCAAAAGAAAACAATTGAAATTTGAGTTTTCTTATGCTTGGCCTTGGATCTCATCGGGTGGAAATTGAACAATCCCGTTCAATCTCGATACAATTTTTTTTTCAAATGTGTAAAAGGCGCAGTTAGGAAAAAAAAAATTTAAAATTGTTGTATGGGTCGTTACATCTCAAAAATTTAGAATCTTAAGTAAATCCTAAATTGGCTTTTATTAAAAAGAGTCGGTATAATCCAACAGTAGTGGTACAAAAGACACGAAATATACAAGTCCCAACAAATGATTAAAAGAACAGATTGGTGAATGAATCGACAGCTCGAATCACCGTTTTACCATGTGGAAAAAATATTGAACCGTAAAAAAAACACTGAACATGCCAAAAACTACTCTGAATAGATGCATCTACGATCCTGATCGCTATTTTACTATTGAGTTGTCGTTTTACTGTACAAAACTGTCTGTTCCCTTCTAGACTCGACCGTTTTTCTATACAAACACAGAACCAGAATAGAACGACCAATTCCTACGCCAGATCAGGCAATTTCATGCACTGTCTCAAGAATACCTCATCCTCATAAAAATATTCTCATGTTTATATACTCTCTCTCAATAAGAGTACTCTCTCTCTCAATGAGTAAAAGTCGATTTGTTGGCATCTTCATTGTCCCGGCAAGAAGGCGGCAATGGAGACGAGACAGCCGTATGATAAGAGGAAGCAGCAAGCTGTGCTAAAGCTGGTACCGCACCACCTGCATAACCCAAGCAACCATGCACCTAAAACAAAGGTTAAATAAAAAGAGACACGGAGTTCATGAAAAAAATTATTTTGATTTTGGAACTTAAAAAATTATACTTCATATTTCATGCTCAAATCCCACATTTTGTGAGCATTTAGTATAATTTAATTTTATTCTTTTTTTGTAGATAATGTTTTGAAGATGTGGCGTTCATACTTCTCACCATCACATACTTTTCACCATCACGCACTTACAAAAAATATAAAAAATAATTTGAAAGAACTAAAATTACCATAATACCCTTAAATCCAATAAGGGTATTTTGATCATTTTATTATTGAATTATTTTTTGTTGTTTTTACGAGTGCATAATATGAAGAACTCTAGCTGCCCCAAATCTGAGCTCAATCCGATGTACAGAAGAAATAAATTGAAATACACCACACACTAAAAAAAAGAGGGACTTGAGCATAAAATATAAAAGAAAAAATTTATATAAAATCTTGACCTTATATTGTAGAAATAAGGTGCACCTCAAAAATCTTTAAAAGGTTGTCTCAATGTTGAAAAACCCCACGATTGATCATCTCAACCTCGATATACATGGATTGCACATATTGTAACATATTATCTAGACCATTCATTTTCAAAACTTTTGAGTGTTTTTAGGTATGCTTGATCTACATCATTTTTCAAGCTTTAAATTTTATAATTTGGTCTGAAAATAGATTTTTATGTCATCAAAAAGGCAAAACTACATCTTTTACCAAGTTTTAGAGGTCTACCTTACTTTGATTGTTTAAGGCTGACATTTTATACAAAACATACCCAGATACAGAAGGGACTATATGCTATGAGATCATTACTTTTGTTATAAGGAAGTCACAATCATTTTTAGCCACTAGATATGAAATCCAATAGATTAAAGTGTAACACAACATTCGAGAAATTTTATTTTTGGATTTTGTACCCAATCAATGATACATCATCAACCACCGAATTTTAAATCCAATAGTCAATAATGACAGTGACCTTGCATCAAAAGTAACTGGTCTCATTGTATACATTTCCAATATAAAATATAGGAAAAATTAAATGGGATTATTCTGTAAAATTCCCATGAGAAGAAAAAATATTTGTTCAATCCTTTCAAAAACAGGAAAGATCGAACTACAAATAGATGACCAATATGAGAAGTCCACATTAGAATTTCTCATTGTGTGTGTGCTCTTTCTATGTCTGAGAGCGTGTGAAGAATATGAATCAACCATTTGTTTTTTCTTTTTTTTGGAAGCGTAACATGAATCATTAAGGGAAAGGTTTGATTTACCTGCAAGTCCAGCACAAGTCGAAGAGAAGAGTATTACTGGTGGGGCCTGAAATCACAATTAGACAATATAATTGAAATTGTATGAGGAATAAAATAAGTAGCTTGTAGTTTATCAGTTTCCGGATTTGTTGAAAAAAACCTTGATTCTTGTGATATAAATCATTAGTAATATATATGCAATAATTAGCTATAAGCTAAAAGACGACGTATGCAAAAAAACAAATAAATCAAGTAAATAAATGCTCACAATCTTTTTAAACTGGTATCGATACAATAAGACCCTGATTCTGGTACCACTAACTCTAGGGATGTTAATAAACGTGAAATCATGGAAATAAAGGAAGGAAACGTTTTTGGTGAGTATATGGAGTCTTGCATCTGCCTTGGTTTTCAAGGGTTTTTGGACCTGCAACATATCCCAAATCACTGCAAATCCATTTCCAAGTGAAATCCATGAATCTGGATCTATACAAACAGTGCAGATATAATTTACCTTTGAAGAATTAAATGAATGGTCCCAAACCAATATAAAAGATAGGCCACTTTTAAGGTTCAATTCCTTTTTCTATTTTTTTTTCTTTCTTCAGATTCATGATTGTGGTGGTCATGATGATAGACCTGTGGAGTTTTGGATCCCAAATCCATCTCCAAGATGGATTTTTAAAGGTTGGAATCACAAGAATAGATGTGTCCCAATAAGTACCTAGATATATTAATAAGATATTATGCATGATGAAACAATAAATCTATCTAAAACAAAATATACTATGACAGACATATCATGTGATTAATCAAAACCCAGTTCTTTTTGCTTGTAAGACAAATTTTATGGCTTCCTCCCCCTGTGATTCATGTTTCAATATGTGGTGAAGATTGGGATTTTACAATGTTGGAGGCAATGACAGGGGCTTTCCCTTAAGAAGTTGAAACGGTAGCTTTTGAATGAAATCTTACTTCATTTAAGGTAGGCTCAAGGAGCTCTTTTGAGCAAGTCTGAGAGGAGGATGGAGGAACCTAGCTTCTAAGTTCTTATTCCAGGGAATTTTATAGGACTTCAAAAGGAGAGAAGTGACAACTAAGATGATAGAAATACTACTTTGAAGATTCCCCAACCTGATGTTCTACTGATTGAAATTGAGCATATGGGGTTCTCTTACCTACTTGAAATACTTTGCAATGCAGTTTTATACTATTTCTAAATCTAGTAACAAACTCAACAACAACAGTAAAGAAAAACACAAAATAAGTAAATGTAACTGAGACTTATCAGACAAAATCTCGGTTTTGTACGCTTGTACTTTTAGTTCGCATAGCTAATAAGAAAAGATATTTAATTATGCAACATGAACTTTCATTGGAGTAAGCTGTCATCAACCAGTCTGTGCTAATTTGACTTGGCTTGAGAACCTGATGAGTTTTTTGGTTTATCACACAACCTGCCTGAGTGAGCCAATAAAATGTAATTTTCGGTTGTGACTCAGACAAGTCCGCATAAGAGTCAATATGACTCGGCTGGGGGGTATGGTTTAATAAGCACAGCAACTGTTTGTATGAAGCATGATTTAATATGATGTCTCTGTTGATATCTTCAAAAGATCATTGGCTTGGGATCACCAAACCTACCCACTAATAAACTTTTCATGCTCAGTTCCACCCCCAAGCTTGTAGGTAATCTTAGAGCCTATTGGTCTCATTGTGTTAGTTACTTGTTTGGTAACTCGTTTGTACCATTGATTGTAAATTGTCGATGTTACTTCTTATATTCATCCATGCATGTGTTATTCTAATATTTTTTGTGTCAAGGCTATTAAAAGTTTCTCACACTTTACAAAACACACTAGACTAGCTCTTGCAGGGAATCTTAGAGCCCAGTGGCATTAGTTTGGTTAGTAACTTATTTGTATCCCTAACTACACACCATCTATGTTACATGATATTCACCTATATGTCGATTTCTAATATTTTGTGTCAAGGGTGTTAAAAGCCTCGTACCCCTTACAAACATACACATGCACAAGCACATAGATACTGTGCTTGAGCTAATAAACTTGAATCTGATTCCTCCTAAAATGTCATAAAGGAGACCCAAGGTACGTAAACCAAGTTGTCATCAAAATTAAAATCCCTCTTTCCGGTAATTATCAGATCTATGAGAAGATTAACATTCATTAAAATAAATGAGTTATATTATTTTCATAATATACAAAAGATTAAGTTTAGTTCACATAATATCTGAAGACCTATAATTAGGCTATCAGATCAGATTCTACCTCGGGGAGATGTTCCACTCATGAAATCAGAAAGCATTAAACCAATGTACTAAAGGGCATCTATTAAGCATCTAATGTCAAGTAGCTAAATTCCTAGGAACATCTTAAACTTCAGAGAAAAGGAAAATCAGGTTGGTCAAAGGAATCAGGTTATTTAATAAAAAAACATTAGTTTACTTGATACAATAAAGGAAACTCAAAGCAGTAAGAAGAGTAAATTTCATCAAGTAGAGCATAAAACGGTAAAACTTTCAGATACTTACGCCAACAAGGAAATGCACCCACATAGGCCCTTTAATCCATTTTTGTACGATAGGCATCGCTGCGAGCAAAAAAGAAAAAAAAAAATTCATCAAAAAAATGAAGCTGACAAAAGCATACTACCTACTCCTGTATTTATAGCCCTACGAGACATGCAGATCTCAAGATTTGCTTCTGATAAATAACAATAAATGGAAGAGAAATCTAACACCATTCCATGTGATTTCAGCACATTCAAGAAAAGACTAAGAAAGTATGCGAGAAGTGGAATGTTCGATTAAATATTTATAAGACTACAATGGAATAGAACCAACGCAAAAACAAGCAGATGAGATTCAAAGGTGAAAGTAATTTTCAAACTTTAGTTTGAATAAAAGCATGCAACCAGATTAGAGCAAATAAAATTACTTCATTGATGCTCGATTCACTTGATACTCGTATTATTTACTAAGTATAATACCACCAAACAATGTTTCAAAAAGCGCTTGGCGGCACCAAGGCAGCCGGGGTGTCCAAGCCACCCAGTGCTTAGGCAGGCACCCAAAACCTGGGCAGCCCAATAGAAAGGAAAAAATTGTAGGGTTTTTCTCTCTCTAAAATAGGCTCCAATGGGTTTTAGGATTGAAATGAACCCAAAACCCACAATTTTACCCCTTTAGTACTAAAAAAATGATCAAAAAATGCCCTCAACGAAGGTCATTTCCACCCCTAGAGGGGCACAAGCCCTGGGCGGCCGCCTAGGCTGGTTCAGGAGGCCGCCTAGGTAGGTTCCCAGGCGCCCAGGGATGTCCGCCAAATTTGGCCGGCTAGGCGACCGTCCAGGCGCTGGGCGGTCCGCGTTTTAAATCACTGCCATCAAATAAACCAATAAAGTAGCAAGAAGGCTGGTCTTAAGGTCGATTTATGAATATCCCCATATTGCAAGCAACAACTTGAGGCCTTTACAGATATTGTCAAGGACCAAGAAATAAAAAAATAAGTATAAAAAAAGGGCACAAGTTAAGTCAATTGTCATAACTGCTCAATCTTACCAAAGAAATGGACATGATCAATCAAACTATTTAAATAAATTTGTCACTAGAGAGCACAAATCCATATCTCCTAGTGCCAGCACTTGTTCCTAACTCCCTATCTCCTAGACTCGTCAGTAATACAGATCTCCACAGGCTAACAACAAATCCTCTCTCTCTTTTCTCTACTATGAAGTTCAACTTCAGGTTCTTGGATCTGTGGTTAGGGTGTAAGAGCTGCAACCCATAATTCAGGGCTAAAATAGAATACTATGACAACTAAAGTCATATTGCATGCATTCCAACATGGAATTAGGACTCATCTTATGTGTTATAAACTAGGCTCTTCCTCTATGTTATTGTACAGTTCTCACAGCTTGCTTTCCTCCCCAAAAAATATGGAGAGCAACCACTATAAATAAATGATCACTTGGCACCTCTCAGAGAACAAAAGAATATAGATCACCCCAATCAGGAGTCTATGGTAGGACTACATCTGGACCGTACTGCATATAGCCTCAGGCACCCTCCCTTTTGAACTCACAAAAACCACCAGTTATCTATGTGACCCTGCTCATTATTCTAGTATCCAAGTCCACACATGATCGCCTCATGGAACAACTCAGGAAAAAACCACAAGGTCAGAAAGAGATTTCTAAAGACCTTTAGATGGGAAATAAACTTTACAAGTTGCATAGAGACTGTCCATATCCTCGATAACCTAGTTGCTGATTTCCTTGCATCTTAGAACTAAGTAGCCTCTAGACACAATACATTTGAGGATTGAGCCAGGTGTTTTCTTGCTGTATAGATATTTTGATCACTTTTTTAGTGTAACTGTGTTTACCATGCCTTTTTGCCATGATCAATCTACTGATTGCAAAGCAGGAAAATTTTCAGCAAGTTATGAGAAAAATATAAACAAAAAATATTGCTCTATGGTCTCAAAACGATCTTTCTTTATATATATTCTTTATATATATATATATATATCATAATTTACTAAAGGGAAGAAACTTCGAGACTAAATTTAATGGAAATATCATGCATCCACGTGTACTAGTCTCATGGTTGATCAGTTGGGTAGAATTCCATATTGGAGAGCACATATGGAAGTGGTTTAACATATGTTGATAAATTTAGTGCCCTGAGGAATTTAAATCAATTAACTATATTCAACAACGAAAGAAAATGGAAATCGTTTTTGGGAGAAACTAATGAACATCAAATTCTTTGTTTAACACTGTACAATCAGCCCAAATGGCTTAATATGACTTGAAACAAAAGGCTAGAACTCATTACAAGCACATCAAAGCAAAAAGACGCATAGTTTCATAATAAAATTGATCGGGATTTTTAGCAAAGAAAATGAAGGGAATGAGCAAGTCTTGCTCGAATCTCAAAATTTGCCTAAAAAATTGACATCACAGTCAATTCACAATACATATTCAGCCATTACACCCATTAATAGCACTGAATGTGCATATATTGAAACTTGTTTCCACTTTACATCAACACATCAATTATTCCCCAAATACTTCAACTATTTCCTAGTTAAATATTTCCAAGGCACTCTCCATGTATCAAAACGCAGATTCATTAGGAATCACTTGAGAATCCAGCCTTGAAGAGATAAAATGCTATATCACGTCAAGTTTCAAATGCCACTTAACATCTTAAAGTTCTTTCCCTTTTATTTCATCATGTCATCGTCCAAGCCTTAGCCCAACTATTCGGTGTCGGCTAGACAAATCATGTTCCACCATTGTACTCTATCAAGTGTCATACCCTCAGCTAAACCATAAGTCATCATATCTCTTCTCACTACTTTCATTTATATCCTTTTGGGCCCTTCTCTTGCCCTTTTAGAACCTTCCACTTAAACCAAATCGCTCCTCCTCACAGCGATGTTTTAGATCGGTGTTGTACATGGCTAGACCACTCAAATCTACTTTCCCTCATCTAATCGCCTATTGGAGCCACTCCTAAGTTCTTTTGGATATGTTTATTCCAAATTTTGTCCTCTCTTATCTTGTCACTCATCAATCTCAACTACACTCATTTTATGAATATGTTATTTCTTGACCACCCAACATTCTATCCCATAAAGCATGGCTGGTCCTACAGCTGTCCTATAGAATCCCCCCTTCAATTTCAATGCTATGAGACGATCACATAAGACTCCAAAAAAATATTTACTTTCTTCCACACAACTCTAATTCTATTCGCGAAATCTTCCTTAATCTCCTTATTTTCATGGATTATCCACCTTACCATGAGCAGATTGTATCCATTGGGCAAATATAGGTTCGATCAAGATTTGTTTTTTCTGGAGTACCAAAAGCAAGCATGACATCGTTATGAACATAGAGTCCCAAAGTATGAAAACCCAAGAACAAGTTGGCCCAACTTAAATGAAAAACATCGAAAATAATCTCTTTTAAGTATTTATTGGCCATCAATCTTAACTAATTTATTATTTCTACTCCTATTATTACTAAATTTTCATTACACATACTATGTCTTAGTCCGGCTAATTTTAAAACCTTTTGATTCTTAAGCATCCTTCCAAAATTATAACTTTACATCGATGTCGTCTCTAGTCTTACCAATTAAAGCCATGTCATCTGCAAACAACGTACACCATGGTACCTCATCGTGTAGATCTCTAGTTATCTCGCCTATAACCAAAACAAAGAGAAATGCACTCAATGTCGATCCCTAATGAAGCCTTACCATCACTAAAAACTCACTTGTCTCTCCAGTAATTGTCCTTACTCTAGCTAGCACTCTCTTTTACATATCTCTCACCATGTCAATATATCCTCCAAAGATTCATTTCTTTTCCACTACCCACCAAATCGTATGCTTCCTCTAAATCAATAAAGACCATATGGAGGTCTTTTTTGTTCTCCCTAAACTTTTCAATCAATTGCCTAAGTACGAAAATAGCCTCTTTAGTTTACCTCCCTGGCCTAAAACCAAACTGAGCTTTTGATACACTCATTTTGTGTCGTGTCGTTACTCAATTCCACTTTCCCACAGTTTCATAGTGCAGCTCATAAGTTTGATCCCTCAATAGTTCTTACAGTTCTGCACATCTCCTTTTGTTCTTGTAGACATTTTCTTCGTTCTCAAGATCTTGTTAAACGACTTGGTCAACCAGGATATGTCAATCTCTCCAAGCACTTCCAAACCTTTATTGGGATAATATTTGGTCCTAAAACCTTTCCTATTTTTATCTTTCACGAAGTTTCTTTGATGCAAAAGGAGTCTGGGAAATTAAATCCAGCCTCCTTTTGATCTTAAACAAGCAAAATTCAACAATAATGGAGGGAAAACTATGGTTGTAAATCAAGCCATGGAGAAGAAGATGCTATCTTTCTTTATTCATAAACAAATAGTCTACAAAAATATTCTAATCTCTTACTCTCTCTCTCCCCCCCCCACAATTTTCCCTCCCTAGCTCATCTCCTTTTACATGAATCTCTCCCCCATCAAATCTTCCCTTAGATCTTCACTCCCATAAAAATCTCTTTTTTAAATCACTAACTCCCCATCCATATCCCACATAAATCTCTCTACATCAAGCAAATCAACCCCTTTAGATCCTATTTTCTAGGAAATTTCTCTACCCCTCACGTGATTAACCATCACCCATCATTCTCTTTCTAATTATCTAACAATCCTACCAAAATAGGATCATGGAATCCTACAAACTAGGAAATCCATCCTAAATAAAATAAAAATCTCTTTTTCTTTATGAATATCCTTCAAATTTTGTCCCAACAATAAATAAAAAATAAAAAAATAAACACTTTGGATGCGATTTGCATCATGTTCCTCAGGTTGGGAAAAAAACTCATCTCAAGTTTTTCCTATTGCATCTTCATCGTTCTCCCTAAACTGATAGTGAAGTCCAACATCTGCACGCAAATGTTCTTTGTAAGGCATGAAGTTGAACAACCGATATGCATCTTCGATGGCCATCCATTTGGCATATGCATTGCAAAACAAATTGCTGATTGAGGATTCAAAATCAACTACCTTT